ATTTATTTTCTACTTTTTTATCTTGTCTGTATAAAATTTTGCGATAGATATTAAAATTATTCAACGATATTAATAGAAAGGTGCACACACATGCATTTACATATGTATGTACATACAAACGAGCACCAATTAATTTTATTTAAAGAAATGGCGTGTCGTCTATTTCCGCTGTAGCGAACGTAGTACATAGGGCGACATCTAGATGTCATCTACCTCGCCCTATTCACTACAGATGTCGCCCTATGCACTAGACTTTTTATAGGAACTTTTAAAGAAATGGCGTGTCGTCTATTTCCGCTGTAGCGAACGTAGTACATAGGGCGACATCTAGATGTCATCCACCTCGCCCTATTCACTACAGATGTCGCCCTATGCACTAGACTTTTTTATAGGAACTATGCAAAGCAAACGTTTTATGGTGTCGGACACACAACATTGAAAGTTTCTGGATCCACAACATTGAAAGTTTCTGGAGCCACAACATTGCAAGTTGATAAAAGCGTTGTAAAATACAGCTTTGGTATGTGACCGATATGGTGTCTCTGATAGAGCAGCCGCAGCAATCATATCTAGTACACTTGTTGATGTTGGAGTCATATCTGAATCAGACAAAGCTTTTGTAACAGATCGAAGCAAAGTCAGAAGAGAAAAACAAGGACAAGTTTGCAGCAGAATATACAAATCACCGATTCTATACGAGGCTTATATTTTGATGGTCGCAAAGATATGACATTGAACATCGAGATAGCAGGCTCAAAGCGTTTTAGACGTACTATTACAGAAGAACACGTGTCTCTAATTGAAGAACCTGGGTATCGATACCTTAGCCATGTTGTACCAAAATCTGGAAGCGCAAAACATATAAAGGAGGCAATAATATTCGATCTAGTCAGTCGATGTTCCCTTTCCCTTCAAGAGTTGGATGTTGTGGGATGTGACGGAACAAACACAAATACTGGCTGGAAAAACGGTGTTATTCATCATATAGAAACTTATTTACAACGAGAAGTGCAATGGGTTGTTTGCATGTTATACCTTAACGAACTTCCATTTAGACACGTTTTTGAATATCTAGATGGTCCTACATCTGGACCAAAGTCGTATTCCGGGCCAATTGGAAAGGCACTCTTAAATTGTAATACATTACCCGTAGTCAAATTTAAAATCATTGATGGCTTTCTGCCGAATGTAGACACTAATGATCTCAGCAAAGATCAAAAGTATCTTTTGCGCATCTCTCAAGCTATTCAAATAGGGGAATGTCCTCTTGATCTTGCTAAGGCATATGCAGGTTTAATCTCTCACTCCCGTTGGCTAACAACAGCAAATAACATACTCAGATTGTATATATCAACACCAAAACCGTCTACTGCTTTAATTCAAATAGTTGAATTTACTCTTACATGTTATGTTCAAGTATGGTTTTCTATAAAAAAACATAGCTCAATATTAGATGGACCTAAAAATCTCTTCTTGATGATACAGGCATCAAAAAGCTTAACACAAACGTTGCAAGAGGTTGNGTCTACTGCTTTAATTCAAATAGTTTAATTTACTCTTACATGTTATGTTCAAGTATGGTTTTCTATAAAAAAACATAGCTCAATATTAGATGGACCTAAAAATCTCTTCTTGATGATACAGGCATCAAAAAGCTTAACACAAACGTTGCAAGAGGTTGTCCATCCTGTAATACAAAATAATGCTTATTTCGCACATCCGGAGAACTTGCTGTTGTCCATGTATCTGGATAAAAGAAAGCAAACTAGAGAAATTGCATTCAGGCGCATTTTAGAGGCTCGGACTAGCAAAGCACATGATAAAAAGGAGTCTGGAATACGCAAATTTATTATTCCGAAGTTAAACTTTGGCGCCTCTGAATACAGTGATTTAATTCATTGGAGTAATCAAATACTCCTTTCACCACCACTCTTAATGAACGTTTCAAACGAGGAAATTTTCCGACTAATTGAATCACAAGAGATTCCACAGTGGGACTTTCGAAATTTTCCCTGTCACACGCAAGCTGTGGAACGTTGTGTAAAACTGGTAACAGTGTCAGCAGAAAAAGTGGTGGGATTTGAAAATAGAGATGGATTGATCAGATCCACTCTAAAATCAAGGGAAAACATGCCCAAGTTTGATACAAAATCAGACTTTGCATTTACACAGTAAATATGTACTTTTATACAGGGAAGGCACTCGAAGTTTACCTATTAAAAATGCTATAATTTTGTAAATTTTTTGTTTTGTTTTTAACATCAGGTTATCATAAAAACATGTCAATTTTAAAAACAAAAGTATATTACTGTTCGATATAGCCACCTTTAGCGCGAATGATATCTTCGAGTATGTCCGGGAATGCTCCAGATGCTGCACGAATGTAGTCTGAAGGACCACTAGACCACATTCGTGTAGAATGTGAAGCATTCCCGGACAGACACGATGCTATTAATCGCGCTAAAGGTGGATACATCGAACAGTAATACACTTTTCTTAAAATTTAACATGTTTTTATGATAACCTGATGTTAAAAACAAAACAAAAAATTCACAAAATTATAGCATATTTAATGGGTAACACTTCGAGTGCCTACCCCGGTAGAATATGGTTGGATGGTTGGGTAGGGCGGGGGTGGAACTCAAAGTGCATAGTCTCTATGAAACGGGCTAAGTGCTGCATTTACATTATGAAAAAAAGGCATACAAAATTTCGTTACCAAACAATATTCTCTTAATTTTTCTTAAATTTAAAACTTTGACCGCATTGCGCGAATGGAAGATATTCATGAATTCCAAAATTTTTTTCTGTGTTTTATTTGTCTTTAATTACAGCAAGTTTTCCGCGCTATTACGTTTTTAAATTCGTAAAAAGTGTTTTTTCGCTTCACTCTAATATGTATATACATATGTATGGATAATATAATAGCTCTGATCCAATACTTTTCGTGTAAAATCCTGTTAATACGTCAAACAGCAAAATTACTCTATGAAGTGAGAGTAAAAAGTAAGTAACAGCAAAAGTACGGGAACAAAAAAAGCATCGAGTAAAATCTTGCAACTTCATTTTCTACACAACTCTCCAAAAATCGCTCTCATTACAGGTTTTGGAGTACGCGATCATTTTTCCCGTAACTTCCTGCAAGTTCGTGTAAAAACCTGTAAGCTCATTGAGTACTGGATCAGAGCTAATACAAGATTGCACAAAGAGAAGATGACAGTAATAGAAAGAGCCGAAGAAATGAATTTAGTTTCCCATTTTGCAAACAAAATACATATGTATGTATTCATGACTTTAATGTAAACCTAGCGACAGATGAAGCAGAACAACAGCTTACATTTCTAAAAGAATAACTAAATTTAGGAATATATACAAATAGAAATGCTCAAACTACAAGCTCAAAAACAGTAATTGTTGCGGTGTTTTCAAGATATTTTAACGCCCTTGAGTCACAAGTATATAAAAGTATCATATTTTATCAATCACACCGATAACTTCATGTATTAAAAGAATTAAAAATGAAAATGAATAAAAAAAATCAATCAGCAAGATGAATAAAATTAAGTGAAATTAATGTTTAATTTCTAATCTGACCTACATGTGTATGCATTTAGGTGAATCGCCTAATAATACGTTTAAATATAAAAAGATTATCCTCATTTTTGAGCTTAACTCCCTAAGAAAGAGAGATTAGCCATACAAAATTATAATTATAAAATAATCTCAGATTAAACCGATAAGTTTTTGGTGTCCGACCTAGTTTTATCGTTTATACTTGTGAAGAAGAGGAGGAATGTCAAATGTAAAAGTAAACAAAAATCGACGCTAGCAAGGAAAAGAGGTTTGTAAAGGTATTTTTAATAAAATATTAAGTTAACATATATTTAAATAGCATAGTATGTGTAGCAGAAAAAAGTGACCAGGATGGCATAGAGAAGAAGCTTAACTTTTCCTCGAGTTGTGAGAATAACAAGCACAACCAATTTAATAGCTAACGAGCTTTGATTCAGATTATATTTATATGTAAATGTACTTTAATGCTTTGCCGTACGCATATGTTTGCACATAAAATTTTATGAGTACCTAGTGCTCACGACTTTTTTTCTGTCGGCCAGCATTTCAAGCATTTTTCTCTGCAGCTTCTTGACACTCCTCATCATACTAGTAATGAACGGGAACTATGGTTCCACCGTTCGCGTATGTCGGTTTGTTCAAGAGTGCTCTCTCCCAGCAGGTGTGAGAGTCGAGGGGAAAATCCATTGGCCGCCTGTTTTGCTTGCAGCTTTTCGACGTTGAACTTTCCTTGCATTATTGGGGGCCCTTTTTTTGCTGCACCGGGGTGGGGTCGTATATTGACTGCATAAATATAGTGGTGCGAGTCGATGTTTGGCCCTCGGAGTGTACGTATATACATCTAAAACACTGGAAGCATGCCTTCCGTCTATCACAACATGCTCGATTTGGTTACCCGGTTTTCGATCTGGAGACACCCATGTAGCTTGATGGATCTTTTTTTACTAGAACCCAGTTCTACATAATGCCAAGTTTTGGGCAGCATGGCATTTAAATCGCTAAGCACGATTTTTATACGTGTCGGGGGCAGCACTAATATGTACGCTCTAAGCTAAGAGATCCTTGGACGCCTCGTCCTTCCCTTCCATCGGGGCATTGGCACATATAAGCGAGATGTTGAAGAATCTCGCTTTGATGCGGATTGTGGCTAGACTAGACCACTAGAGTGAACGCCGGTCTCTCTCCCACCACAAATCCAACACCGACTTGCGCTCCTTTACGTGAAAACTGTAGTAGACGTCGCAAGGCTCCACACTTACCTTCCTCGCCCCGTCCATCGCATTTCATGGATGGCGGGGACATCAGCCTTTATTTTCCCCAAGACATCAACCAGCCGGGCCGAGGCACCGTCCTGATTAAGGGTTCGGATATGCCAGGTGCATGACCTCAAATCATAGTCCTTCATATGTTTGCCATGATCGTCATCAAAAGAAGGGGTTATCATCCGAGGCATGTGTTTTTTTTTATTGGGACGCGAGGTGTTACGCCCTCCCAGAATATGTATGACCCAGATATAATAAAAATCTGCGAAACCTGAGAGTAAAAATGTTCCCCTTGGTTTTGTTTTCGTCGATTTGCGCCATATGCTTTTAGATTAATACAATTTATATATAGGTGTAGATTTGAATTGTGTTTGTATGCGTAGATCTGAGTGAAAGTTTGAGAAATGTTCAACATGCAAATGAGACAGCTAAGGACACCTAGGCCTAATATATGCATGTATGTATGTAAGGGAATGTGTCACCTTTTTAAATAAATATTTATAGAAGTTGCGTGACAACTAAACAAAAAGTCAACCAGACTCAAGTGAAAAATAAATAAAATGAAATACAAAATTTAAAATACCGCACTTTTATAAATGGACTAAAAATTAGGAAATAATATATCTCAATCCCATAGAATTTGTTTTGATAACTTTTTATTTTTTCATTTTCAATCTCATAAATTGTTTATAATGACTTTTGCTAAAATTTGAAAATCAAAACAAATTCTATGGGACTGAGAAATATTGTTTTCTACTTTTTAATCCATATATAAACGTGGCATATTAAAAAGTTTATTTTATTTTATTTATTTTCTACTTTTTAGTCTTGTCCGTGTAAAATTTTGCAATAGACATTAAAATAATTCAATAATTCAATTTGTTCTATAAAAAAAATATTTATTGAAAATATGCCATTTTAGAAAAATTTGAAAAAGATCACAATTGTAGTTCTGAGCATAGCGCAATATTTAAGTATAGTATTATGGGGTGCACTCTACAATAACTTAAGTTATGAATTTTTTTTACACCGAAGTTGAGTAAAATGAGTACATTAAAACTATACAATTTTTTTTAATTTCATCTAGAATTTTTTTGAGTATGCAGTCTTGTAGCCCATTAAGTATAATTAGTGTAAGTTTTAAGCGATTGCGATTAAGTGTAACTGGTGCTAATATTTTTTTTTCTTTGAAAATGGGTTTGCGCATTTTCTTCCATAAGAAAAAAATGCAAAAAGCCCTCAGCATAAAAAATAGTATAAATCACCGCGATTTTGCAGTAGCTTAAAACTTGCACTTTATTATACTAAAACTTAATGGTCTACAAGACTGCGTACTCGAAAACATTCTAAAAAAAATTTAAATTTGTAATGTACTCATTTTACTCAACTTCGGTGTAAAAAAAATTAATAACTCAAATTATTGTAGAGTGCACCCCATAACACTACACCCAAATATTTCGCAATACTCATAGCTACCATTGTGATTTTTTTTTTATTTTTTTTTGAGATGGCATATTTTAAAAAACTATTTTTTTTATCAAAAAATTGTTAGTGAAACATTTTGCAAGAAAAAATTTTTTAATATATCTTTTCATAGAAAATTTTGGTGTGTGTGTATGTGTGATTCTTTTCAAATTTTTTCCTCGCCCCGTTCTCAAGATCAATTAAGCTCAAATTTCATATTTATTTATTAATTATGTTTAGGCATCAACCCTAAAAATTTGAAAAAAATCAAACACATGAAGTGTGAACCCCGTCCGTTTTGGGATGGAACGCCCCATGTATGTATGTACATCATAGCTGGGCACACCAACACAGTCTCATTTTGTCATGGTATTAGTGCGTCGCGCTCAGTTATGGTTGCCGCATTTTTTATAAATGTACTAAANAATTAATTTCCTTTAAAGAAATGGCGTGGCGTCCATTTTCGCTGTAGAGTATTTAGTGCATATTTTTAGGCTCAATATATAACTACTTGTGGCGAGGCGTCATCTACCTCTAGAGTTTTGATATGATACCAGGCAACGAGGTTGATGTCTAGACGTTTATAGGATCTTTGCAAAGCAGAGGTTTTATAGCAATGAATGGTGTCTGGACACACATCATTGCAAGTTGATAAAAGCCTTGTAATAATAATAAAAAAGGTGACCACACAGTATCGCCGACAATAAAAAGATAGGCAAATAACTCAACGACCGCAATAATATTGCACGCTACATAGCAGGAGTACCAAGAGGACTCAAAAGCGTGAATTTCGGAGTTGAGCCGTTTTGCCACCAAAGCGCCTGGTACATATGCACGTATACCAAGTATATAACACCACTGATGTATTATAACTTTTATCACATAACGGTTGTTTGTAACAGGCAACACGAATCGAGATAGATATAGACAAATCTATGATCAGAATGAAAAAATAAATCGATTAAGCGGCGACTGTCTGTCCGTCCGTCCGCCTGTGCACACGATAACTGTAGTATAAATGGAGATATCGTAACGAAACTTGGTACGTGTACTTCTTTTCAGCGTAGGACGGACGGTATTGAAAATGGGAAAAATCGGACAATAACCACGCCTACCTCCCATATAACGGTAGTTTTCAAATACGAAAACTGTGATATTTTAGTAACTACTGAAGCATATCCACTCAAAATTGATATTTACGATGATTTTTAGACGAAAAATAAGAATATTGTAAATTTTAACTACTGAAGCATATTCACTCAAAATTGATAATAAGGATGATTTTTAGACGAAAAATAAGAATATTATAAATATTTGGAAAATGGGCGTAGCCACGGCCACTTATGATTACATGTGTACATATATCTTGGTAACCGCTCAACAAATTTTTCTGAAACTTGGCACAGTTGTTGGCCGTGGAACATCATACCAAACGGCTGAAAATTTTTTTAATCGGGCCCATATCCCATACCACGGTAATTTAGAGAAATACGAAATCTTCGATAAATCCGTAAATACTGACGCTAATTTATTCAAAATTGATAATTGCAATAATTCTTTAGCAGAAAATACGTTTATGATAAATATTTGTAAAATGGGCGTGGCCCCAAACTCGGTGTGGTTACTGTGCTTTCCATATAAAAGCAAAACGTTCAAAATTATTGAAATCTGACTAAAATTACGCCTACCTTTCATATAACGGAAAATTTCAGAAATGCTTGGAACTTCGATATTTTGAATTTTAAAGACGCTAATTTACTCAAAATTGATACTAACAACAATCCCTTGAGAGGAAGTAACATTATTATGGAATTTTGGAAAATGGGCGCGATGCCGCCCACATATATTTATATTAGTTTATCTCGTTATATCTAAATGATTGTTCTATAGAAGATGTTTGAGATAGACGTAAAACCTGTTTTCCACTTAGCGATATTTTTCGGAAAGGTGAAAAAGCTGTATTTAATACTTGCGCCGGGTATCTAATATTCGGCTCCGCCCGAACTTAGACTTTTTTACTTGTTTTTTTTTTTTAGTTTATCCACGTAATTATATATATATCTATGTACGTATACATACATACATATATGAGCATATGTATGTGAAAAATTTGTTAAATGAAAACGTAATCTAAAATACAACCACGCATTTACATATCTAGTTTTGTTCTTCAACTGTGCTTTTAGTTATATTAAATTTGTTGTTGTTTCGTAACCAAATCGTTAATTTGCACTGCTGACACTCATTTGAAAGAAAAATAGCAGCGGGAATTTCTTCAGTCAAGATTATCTCTCGTTAATAAGTGCTCCTGCTACACCTTAAGACTGGATCAAAATCTTCAAAAACTTCACATCAGTGGAGTTCAACAATTTAAAAACAGTTGTGTTTTAAATCGTAAATCTAAATTGTCGGTTAAATTACAAATCAACCTTTGGTAACCCATGTGCAATGTGTGTTCCCTTTGGTTTTTTATTGTGTGGTCATTAGGGCGGAGTAATTTAATTTCGCAAAAGGTGTATGGCATATTGGGATTCTACGTTCGATTATAAGCAAAAATGGTGAACAAACTAAGTATATACCAAAAATGACGTTTGACCCTGCCAATTTTTAAACAAAAAATCAGTGTATTATATATTTTTCTGAACGAAATTAATTTTTCATTTACAAAATTTTATGTTTCCTTCATGTATTATACTCCTTTTTTTGAAAATTGGGAAAGTCAAACGTCATTTTTGGTATAAAGTTTGTTCACCACTTCGGCTTACAATTAATCGTAGAATTTGAATTTGCCATACACTTTTCTCGAAAATTTTGCTCCGAACAAATCACTCCGCCCTAGTGGTCATATTTATTGTATGTAATTTGTGTAATTTTTTTTGTATTTTTTATTGCTACAAAAGTAAAACAAACAAAAATTTGACGTTTTTTTTGGATCAAAGGACGACTTTTTTGGGGTAAATTGACGATTTTTCAGCGAAAGCTCTCGCAACGCTGCTTGTGGAAATAATATAAATTACAACAAACATTATGCCGTCCCCGCTTGGCGGTAAAAACAGAAATAAATTTAAATCAACCGAAAAGCGTCGGCGGTAAAAACGCTACCATTCCATATGCCTTTGTGAGTTTTATTTTTTACAGCGGTTAACCGACAACTGCTTTCCGTCGTCCACTGCAATTCTGAATAGAGCTTAAGAGCCTAGAGAAACCTGAATCACATGAAGAAAGCATACCTACATATACATGTACATTTCAGAGCGACAGACTCCACGCGAGGAGCATCAGAAGGAGAGCTTCCAGGCGCTCAAGGAACGGCACTCCGTCAATCACTGAGGGCGGCCACTCTTACCACTATACACCACATTCAGTTTTCGTTTTATTGATTTTATTTTCACCATACTCGCGTCTTTATTTCTTAAGTCCCATATGGTTTCACCTAGTTTTTCATTATTCTGACATAACCTCAAAGTAAATTTCGCCCATTTTTGTATCAAACTTTTTTTTATTCTTTTGGTTTTACGTAATGGTGTATATTTTCATGCAACGTAAATATGTAGTCGAATAATTTTTAGTCCCTTATCGGACCATCACCCCTATATGTACTTATGTATATATTTTGGACTTGCCAGAGTCCACAAATAATAATTTGATTTAAGTTATGTAGTGTTATACCTTGTACAGGCTTAGCTCCACCAATTTATTTAAGTTTTGCATCCAATCCTCATTGTTTTTTTTATATATTATAGGTCCTGTAACGAACCCGGTTTATCCGGTCTATAGCTGGGCTGTGGCTCCGTCGGATGTTCGGTTTCCTTATCCAAACGTTAATATAAACTTGCGAATGATTCTTATAGTAACCCTTCTTTATTTCGCTATTTAGTTGGCAGCGTTTGCACGTCACACCAATATAACGTATTTCCTTGGCGGCGTTTCCACGTCCCACCATATAAGTACTACTTGGCAGCGTTTTCACGTCACACCAATATAACGTATTGCTTTGGCAGTGTTTTCACGTCACACCATATACCTTAACTACCTACTAAGCAACTTAGTCTTCACAATCGTTGTTTAGCCGTTCCAATCTGCGTTTGCACGATCGACTGGAGAATACGACTACTCTACCAGAAGTGATCTCACATTACATTTGCTGCTGTATTTATACTGTCCTGCACGCAGGCAGATAGTTATCCTAACAACATTGTTGCTAATATTTTCTTTACTTCCTTTTACTTNAGCCGTTCCAATCTGCGTTTGCACGATCGACTGGAGAATACGACTACTCTACCAGAAGTGATCTCACATTACATTTGCTGCTGTATTTATACTGTCCTGCACGCAGGCAGATAGTTATCCTAACAACATTGTTGCTAATATTTTCTTTACTTCCTTTTACTTGTTCTTACCTAAGTACGTCTGTATGTACTTCAAATTTTAATATAAATATGTACATATGTATTACGATCTCACGTATGTATATAATTAACAATTCATTTAATATGTATATTGACTTATAATAATTATCAAAATTCAACAATAAGTATATATGTATATGTATATAAAAATTAAATTCAAATTGGTGAGGCACTTAGTGATGGACTTGGGGTTTTCACAACCCCCCCTTTACTTCCCTCTGGACGCGTGATCGTCACCATCCGCGCGCCTGTGATATGCACGCGGTACACCATTGTACCCACCGCATGCCTGAAGGTCTGGCGTCTGTTTTGTTGTCGCTGCAGCCGCTCTTGGATGACCCTTACCAGTTCCCTTGGTAGCGGGTTTGTGGCGCATCTGGTGTTGCTGCTGGCTGCGCTGCATCTTCCTGCAACCATCTCTCGATCTCCTGAATCATCATCGGGTCTGCTGGCTCTGTGTTTGTGCTGGCCAACTCCTCCAACAACTGCTCCAACCCGCGGTCTTCCTCCACCAACAGGGTGAGCGCATTCTCCTCTTCGCTTCCTTCATCGTAATTTCTGGTGTCAGCTGCCACTGTCGTCGCCGTTACGTCGCACAATGCCTGCGCAAGTGGTTGTCGCCACGATTCGGTGTTGTGTGACGCGTCGTTAAAAATTCGCATCGTCATTGTGATGCGCCGGACATACTCTATGTAACCCTCACCTGGGCGTTGGCAGTCCTCCTGTTCGATGTCCATTTCGCCCCTGCGTGGCTCGTCATAGCTGTCATCGCCTAGATGCCACTCGTAGTCATCGTCGTTGCTATCGTCGCATACTTCTGCTGGCGTAAACGTGCCGCTACCCGCCTCGCTGCTTGCTACAAAACTCCGAGTCGTGTAGTCGCTTGGGTTCCATGATGCAGGACTCCAGCGCCCCTCATCACTCGCACCGCTGTTTGGGCTTTCGTGAACGTATATCTCTGTGGTGGCCTGACTTGCGTTGTCTTCAACGCCTTCTCCTCCACCAACGCCAGTATGCTGCCTGATTTCCACCTCATTCAGGCGGCGCAAACACACTTTCAAAGTGTCGTCCTTTACGCCCATCGCCTTGAAAATTTTTCCAGTTGCCCGGGTATCCATCCATCGCTGCAGTCACTTTTTGAGTGGCGGGTCCTTTGGGATGTCCTTTTATATTAAACATTTGGGAGACAGTTGCCTTTGCGCGACAAACTGTATACTACTATACTATACTATACTATACTATTTGCATTTTGTTATTCTTTGGTTTATATTATTTTAGTTTGTTATTGTTTTATTCAGCTGTTGTGTTCCAATGTTGCCCACTCTCCCAAAAGGGGATTTTTGCAGGGATCGATATGTCAATATCGGAATAGTTTTGCCAGCCTGGGAAAATGATGTATCCGTTTTACGATATTAATTATTATTATTATATTTATTATTATTATTATATTTGCTGATATTATTCTGTGTATTAATGCTTTTTATATATATTAATAATTATATTGCCTATGTTATGTTTGTGTTTATATATGTTATGTTTATATTTTAGCTTTATTAATGATATTCAAAATTTTTGTTTGTTTATTTCCATTGGCATGAATTATCTCCCTTTTTTATCGTATTCTCGTGCTACAACCTCGTTCTTCTTCTTTTTCTCAGTCTCCTTCTTTCTTCTAAACTCCTTCCTCTTCTTCTTTCCTTAAAGCTCCTTCTTCTTTCTTTAAACTGCTTCTTCTTCTTCTTTCTTTTAAACTCCCTCTTCTTCTTCCCTCTTTTGTCTTATATTTTCTCTTGTTCTTCTCTCCCCTTAGGGTCTCCTTTTCATGGCAATCGCTCCCATATTTGGCAATTGCCGAGTTATCACATTTCTGTCTATGACCGAAGTTTACCTATTCTTCGCCTTGCGTCGAATTAGGCTCAGGTGCATGCCGGGGGAGGATTTGTGGTGACTCTGCCGCGTCGGCCTCTTCATCGCCGTAAAATGGCTTCAGCTCACTCAGATATGCTGTTCTGCTCTTACCGTTGAGTACCTTGTCTAATTCGACGATTACTGGCGAAACGAAGTTCATCACTCGGTACGGCCCAGCATACTTCGGTGCAAGTTTTGCCGCGAAGTTTTCCGTCGCCTTCCTTCACCAGCACTCGGTCACCTACCCCTGGTCGCCATTTCCTCCTGCGCAAGTAGTAATGATGCGCTTGCTCGATTTCGCCTTACCATCTCAAATATCTCTCGCATTTTCGTTGCCTTCGCCTCTGGTGGCGTCGTCGTTTGGCCTGTACCGAAAGTTTGTTCGTTGTAGAGGGCTTTTGGTACTCGCGGCTCGCGTCCTTGCACTAAGAAGGCAGNTTTTATATATATTAATAATTATATTGCCTATGTTATGTTTGTGTTTATATATGTTATGTTTATATTTTAGCTTTATTAATGATATTCAAAATTTTTGTTTGTTTATTTCCATTGGCATGAATTATCTCCCTTTTTTATCGTATTCTCGTGCTACAACCTCGTTCTTCTTCTTTTTCTCAGTCTCCTTCTTTCTTCTAAACTCCTTCCTCTTCTTCTTTCCTTAAAGCTCCTTCTTCTTTCTTTAAACTGCTTCTTCTTCTTCTTTCTTTTAAACTCCCTCTTCTTCTTCCCTCTTTTGTCTTATATTTTCTCTTGTTCTTCTCTCCCCTTAGGGTCTCCTTTTCATGGCAATCGCTCCCATATTTGGCAATTGCCGAGTTATCACATTTCTGTCTATGACCGAAGTTTACCTATTCTTCGCCTTGCGTCGAATTAGGCTCAGGTGCATGCCGGGGGAGGATTTGTGGTGACTCTGCCGCGTCGGCCTCTTCATCGCCGTAAAATGGCTTCAGCTCACTCAGATATGCTGTTCTGCTCTTACCGTTGAGTACCTTGTCTAATTCGACGATTACTGGCGAAACGAAGTTCATCACTCGGTACGGCCCAGCATACTTCGGTGCAAGTTTTGCCGCGAAGTTTTTCGTCGCCTTCCTTCACCAGCACTCGGTCACCTACCCCTGGTCGCCATTTCCTCCTGCGCAAGTAGTAATGATGCGCTTGCTCGATTTCGCCTTACCATCTCAAATATCTCTCGCATTTTCGTTGCCTTCGCCTCTGGTGGCGTCGTCGTTTGGCCTGTACCGAAAGTTTGTTCGTTGTAGAGGGCTTTTGGTACTCGCGGCTCGCGTCCTTGCACTAAGAAGGCAGAACTGTAGCCGGTGGCTTCGGAAACACTGGTATTAAGCGCTAGTGTTATTTCGGGTAGTAAGTCGTCTCAATTTCGCTGCTCTTTTCCGGTAAACTGTGCAAGCATTCTCTTTATGTTGCGGTTTGCTCTCTCCGTCGGATTTCCTTGTGGCGTGTATGGTGCGATGAGTTGATGCTTAACTCCGTAATCTCGTAGTAGCCGTTTTAACTCTCTGCTGGTGAACTGTGTTCCATTGTCAGTGATAACAATTTTCGGGACTCCAAATCTAGCGAGTACGCGTTCTCGAAACGCTTTGTTGAGGCCTTCAGCTGTCGCCTTCCGTAGAGGCACAATTTCCACCCATTTGGAAAACTTGTCGATAAAGACTAGTACGGTTGTGTCTCCGTGCTTTGATCGTGGCAATGGTCCCACAAAGTCTGCGCATACTGTAGCCCAAGGTTCTTCTGCGATCTGGGTCAGCATCTTTCCCGCAGATTTTTGTTGGATGGGCTTATAAATCTGGCAGGTAGTACACTGTCGGACATACCTCTTTATGTCCCTGGCCGGAGGCCAGTAGTAACGTGCCGTCGCTCTCGTTATCGTTTTGAGGATGCCCATGTGTCCTGCGCTTGGACTGTCGTGAACTTCC